CTATGTACAATTTTAAATCTAGGGGAAAAGATAATAAAAGACAATATATAAAAGCATTAAAATGCTACAAACAAGCATAAGAATTTTAGTGTACATTATTTAAAAATTTTATAAGGTAAGTATAATAGCTCCTGCCATGGACTTAATTTTTATTAACAGTATTCTCAACACTTGTAAAACTTAAAAAAAAAAGTTCAAAATTAAAGATGACTTAAAAGATACATTGCTACAAAGAACTTTTATAGTGGTTTTGAGAAGTATGCAATAAACAATCTGGCTCTCAAAAAAGTGTTCATTGAAGCAGAAGAAACAAGTATACTGCTGATCTAAAATAGGAAAAGAAAAAACAAAAACTAAACACCTTAACAATAGACTTAGGTACTTGTAAATATGTAAATGATTTTTGCAAAATATCAATTGGCTAAAATAAAAACAGCTTTAATTCAAAGTGGTCTGAAAACGTGATTCATTAAAAATAAATAACAAAGTGGTCTAAATAAAACAAATCTTTATTGGGTTTCTGATGTGCTTAAGTATTCTGTAAGACACTAAGTATAACAACAGAAATGGTCTCCAATCTCTTGAAGCTTATATGGTAATGAATAAATCCTTCAACACTATTCTTTCTTCTGGGTGATTCCATGAACATCAAACAACTGTGGTTGGAGGGGTGGAGTGGCTTGGGTTCTGTGCTCAGGGGCAACTCCTGGTTGTGCTCAAAAGAACATACGCAGTTCTGGCGTGCACCAAACCCACGTTAGCCATAGGAAAGTTAAATGCCTTAACCACGTTCTATCTCTCTAGCCTATCATCAAGGAACTTTTGAACTCTAAGTGCATCTTTCCAAAGTTTCATAAAATGCTGCCAAGATCAGCTTTCTAGTGAATATATTACCATGTCCTTATTTAATGATTCATTCAGGTTCATATCACTCTGGAATGAGTTTAGTTAGAGTGAATCCTCAAAGCCTGATCAATCTTAAGTAATCCGATGATGCAATTTCTGAAACCAGAGCTGAGAAGTATAAGAGTTGAATGTTCAAACATGGTATTCCTAGTCTCTCATTTATCCTCAGACAACATACCTTTATTTTGTAGTGTTCTTCAAACTATAATGACAGTTAACTTATAAAACTTTTTGAAAGCAGATGGTTCAGAGTGGGAATACAAGCTTTGCATATGTGAGTTTCAGGTCTGATTCCCTAGTACCACATGGTCCCACTGAGCACTGATGGGAGTAGCCCCCATCCAACAAAACAAAAGGGGGTATATATATATATGCATATATATGCATATATATATCAGTGCTTCTCGGACTTTAATATATGCATGGATTTGTTGTCGGTCTGGGAAAACGCACTCTGATTCAGCAGGGCAGGGACTGTGCTGCTGCTTTTCTGATAAGCTTTCTGTGGGGCCCACTGTTGTGCACAGACCAAAGCTATCACTCACCTGACACTGTGTCTGGAACACAGGTTGCTCAGACCAGGCAAGTGTTCTCCCCCAACTTTGTTAGGAAGACCCTAACAAAGTTGATCCTTTTAGGAAGAAAAATGTTTAGTTTCAAAAAAAAAAACAACAACAACAACAACAAAAAACTTTGTATCCTCTGGAGGCAGGCAGGTGGTCAGATGACAGTCCCCTGGCAATGAGTTTTAGGAAGTAACAAAACCAAGATAGGATCTAAAAAAGAAGAGCCCTTTTGTCAGCCCCAAAATACAAATGCTGGATGCTTTTTGGAGATGCAGAAACTGAGGCCTGATGAGGCTGAAAGGATTCAGCACCCGGCTGGAAATACTTAGAAGAAAAACTTCGGCAGGAATTTAAGGGGAAAAAAAAGTGAGAATATGAAAGAAAGGGGCTGGAGTGATAGCACAGCGGGTAGGGCTGATCCTGCAGGCAACCGACCCTGGTTCAATTCCCAGAATCCCATATTCCCATATGGTCCCCCGAGCACCACCAGGAGTAATTCCTGAGCCAGGAGTAACCCCTGTGCATCACCGGGTGTGACCCAAAAAGAAAAAAAAAAAAAAAAGAAAAGATGAAAGAAATCTGGAAAGACTGTACAGGGGTTAAGGTACTGTCCCAGCACGAGGCAAGCCCAGGTTCAGTTCTAAGCATTGAGCACCATCAGGTCTGGCCCCAAATCCCCAAAACAAAAAGAATATGAAAGAAGATCACCAAAAATTCTAAGTCCATTTTCCTAAAAAAGAACTCTTACCTAACACAAAAATCCCCAAGCCAGAGCAATCTGTAAATACTTTATAAAACCAACTTTGCAAAAGCAAGTGCTGGCCTTCCACTCTGGAATAACCCACATCCCAATCTGGGATGTGTAAATTCTTTTCTCTTACATTATGGGGTTCCCTCTTCTATAATTTCTCTCATATTTCCTAAATAAGAGAACTTGGCCTCACTCTGTGTCTTCTGAAATTCCTTTCTGCTAGAGTAGACAACAAACCTGGGAAATGTGAGATGAGATCGGGATTGATTTTTCTTTCCCTGAAAAAAAGCAAATCCTCACTCTGGCCTGAGAACCATGCCTCCCCCACAATCTCAGGTGGGAGGAACGAATTCCCACTCCACATGGACCACTCACTTCTCAGGTGCCGCTTAAAGGCTGCCTGTGGAAACAGCATGAAGCAAGGGTCCTAATGTTCATGCCATACACCTTTCCAGTTTTATACCCACTCCCCAGGCCCTTCAGGTCAAGAGACCCAGGCAAGCAAGTGGCAGTAGCTGTCTCACTCCCTGACACTTTGCTCCCCCATTCCTACAAGCAACACACCAAAGTTCTCACTTAAGTAGAAGGCTTCCATAGATGTTACCTATTCCAGCTGAATGAATGCCAGCTTTTGTCAGCCATTAGTTCTATGATTTTAGACAGAACTGTTTTCCTCCAAATAAGTTTAAATATAAAGGTAGAGGCCAGAGAGGCAATTCAAAAGATTGGAAACTAACCCTCACATTAATGCTAACCCCCAAAACCATTTTTTCAAAAAGCAGAGAAATAAAACCTTATCTGCAGCATAATCAAGGACACTTTTTCATAATGAGCTAATAAAATTAGATAATTTTTTCCTGTTTTCTTTTGGGCCACACCCAGAAGTCATTTGTTCTACCAACTGTACTACTAACTCTTTAGCCCCTGATCTAATCAAAAACTTTAATATGTATATAGCCATACTAAACTTAATTCATCTAATGCCTTTTCCTTTACATCAACAGATTTTTGTAAATATAAGAATTGAATAAATGAAAGGCAGTCATCTGAGGCACAAGGTGTTTAAGCACTTTGCCTTGCATGCACAGACCCAACTGGACCCCTAGCACAGGTCAGAAATCCCCCAGTATCATAGCCCAAACATTAGTGACCCTCAAAGACCCCCGAATTAAAAAAGTCGTTTGATTTCCTGCAGGAAGTATAAACAATAATCTTAAAACAATTAACTTTTGTTTTGTTGTGGAGCCACACCTGGAGCAGCCTAGAGGACCATATGGGATGGCTGGGGATTGAACCAGGGTGGGCTACATGCAAGGCAAGCGCCCCACCAGTTGTACTATCACTCAGGATCCCCCAAGTTAATCATTTTCTTAGGACTCAGCATTCTTTTAAATCAGCACATTATTTTCAGGTACACTCTGCTGTCCCTATCACAACTGCAGGTACTCTTGTCGTTCACTCGCTCTCCTTACATTTTTCAAAATAAAAATATTTGATGCTAGTACAGCAGCGGGGGACAGCCGATTTGCATGCCACCAGCCTAAGTTGGATGCCCATCACCCCAGATAGTTCCCCTGAGCTCGCCAGAGATATCCAGGAGCGCAGCCACAAGTAAGCCCTGAGCAGAGCTCAGAATGCTCCACCCTCAACCCACCCCTCCCCAAAAAATTATGCCCCAATTTTTTTTTCAAAGGATACCACCTAAAAAAGCACTGCCACTATTTATAGCCCTATCTTTGGAATTTTCCTGTGTTTCTCGGTTTTTCTGGGACCGCCAAGGACAAGTGACTAAATCTGACTTGTCACTAGTAAATATTAACCTGATTACACTTGGTTCCATTTTAAGAAACGGTTGATCAGTTGCTACAGTGTTGGCCGCATTCAGGAAAAAGCGCCGAAGAGGGAGTGTTAGTTTCTTTTCCACGATCTTAACCCAATTTCAGGCTTTCCACAATGCTTTTAAATGCTTTTAAAGCTTTTGATTTGTTTACCAGTCACCGTACACCAAAAGCCGCCTCGAGCAAAGAAAAAGATAGAGAACCAAGAATCCAGTTTGCAATCTTGTCGCCCGTCGCAAAGGGTTAAAAAGTCTCAGAAATGAAGGTGGGGCGTCAGGTTTACACCTGAAACGCCCCAAGCCCGGGCCCCAGACGCTTCGTGGCGCGGGGCGGGCGGACAGGCGGCGAGCACCCGAGACCCATCCGCGTGCCCGCGCGCGTCAGCGCGTCCAGCTCGGGTTGTTTTGTTTTCCAGACGCCAGACGGGCGGCGCTGCGCGGGTCAAGCACTCGGGGAGCTGGAGGCGCCCGAGGGGGCGCCCGGGACCCAGAGGCCTCCTCCCTCCCACGTCTCCACGGGAGGAGGCAAAATGGTGGCGGTGGCTCTCAGGGACCCGAGCCGGCCGAGGCCCGCCAGGAGACCTGGGCGCAGCCTCCCTCCCCCCCCCCCCACCTCACAAGCCCGCCCCCGCGAGTCCACAGTCGCGACTGCAGCGGATGCGGCGCGGGGCGCACAGGCCCTGAGCGGCGTTTGGCGGCTGCGCGCCGTGAAGGAGGCCGCCATGGCCGCCCGGGGCCGCCAACGGAGCGGAAAAGCGGCCGAGCACTGTGGGCGGGGCCCTGAGGGAGCCGCGGGCGGGCGGGGCAGGCGGCGCCCCGGGAAGGCGGCGGGAGCCTTTAATCCCCGCTTTCCGGCCGCGGAGAGCTGCGGACGCGGCTTTCCCGGGCAGTTCGCGCGGGGCGGGAGGCTGCAGGGCCTTGGCTGCCCGGCGCCTCTTACCTGAGACGTCCGTTTCTTTCTCGGCCGCCATCTTGTGGCGGAGCCCGTCTCCCGGGAGACGCCTGGGGCTCACCTCGCTCGCGGCGTCCCTGCCCCGGCGCGGGCCCCCGCGGCGACCATCGCTCGCCCTAGCGGCGCCGCGGAGCCGGGGGACGGAGACGCGGGCCGCGGGCGGGAGGCGCCGGGGACAGGGTTGTGGATAGATGCCCGGCGGGCGCCCTTGCCGCTGCGTCCCACAAACACTGGCCCGCTGCCCGCCACGGACGCCGGGATCCAACCAAAGAAAAGTGAAAAGCCACTGGGCACTAAGAACCTCTTTTTTTTTTTTCTTGCCTTTTGGGTCACACCCGGTGGGTTACTCCTGGCTCATGCACTCAGGAATTTCTCCTGGCGGTGCTCAGCGAACCATACGGGACGCTGGGAATCGAACTCGGGTTGGCCGCGTGCAAGGCAAACGCCCTACCCGCTGTGCTATCGCCCCAGCCCCCACTAAGAACTTTTTATATAATGAACTTCTGAGCCCTTTCCTTTCCTCTGATTTCCGATCCCTTTGAGGATCTCTCTGTCTGTCTGTCTCTCTCTCTCGCGCGCGCGCGCGCACACACACACACAAACACGCTGCCCCTTCTTCCCCTGCCCCCGCAGTTTGTACAACGTGGCCCGATTTATTTTTTGTTTGTTTTGGGGGGGGGGGGGTCCGTCCTGGCGGCGCTCGGGGCTTGCTCCAGGCCCTGCATTCGGGAGTCACTCGTGGCGGTGCTCGGGGGACGCTGTCGGGTGCCGGCGAGCGATTGAGCTCGCGTCGGCCGCGAGGCGAGCGCTCAGACCCACTGGACTCGTGGTCCGGCCCCGCGGTTTTCATTTCACTCTAGTTTTTGAACTGCAGGCGGTCGAGTGCGTTGGCCGAGCCCCCTGGGCGGGGCGAGAATCCCGCCGCCCCGCAGGGGACGCCGGGGCTGCTTCGACTCCGGCCCCGCGCCTGGCCCTCTGCCCAGGGGAGCTGGAGCTAAAGCGGGGAAGGCGGGGCCGTTCGACTCCCTCCGAGAAGAGAAACAACTGCGAAACCGTGTGACCGAGGCGCTAGCACCGCGCGGCTTCACTGAGGCTGCGATTCTTCCTACAGAATAGGTTTTTAGTAGCCAAAGGCGCCGAGTCCTACTGGTCTTTCGTTGTGAGATGTGACATGTCCCGCACTAAAAACTACTCTTGGGAGAGTTGTAAAGGCCGCTTTTCTGAAACGGCTCTGTAGGATGATGCTGACTTGCTCTCTTAGCTTCAGTTCACTGTGCTAGAATTTCTTTTTCCAAAAAGGGTCCAGCAATACGGCTAATGATGTGGTTCAAGCGAGTATATATATATGCAAAATCCAATGGTGCATGATTTTGATGTGCATGTGTGATGCCAATGTTATGTAAAAGCAATTTATAACGCAATTTTAAGAGGCCTTTTAAATGCAAGATACTATTACTTAAGGGTCTCATTAACGGTTTTAATTCCCCCTTCGTGTTTTGTAAGTCCTTAGCAAACCCTAAAGCAAACTCGCCCATTCGTTAAAAATCTATTTCTAGAAAAAATACTCATGATACTGTTATCAGCATTCTTTGAAACTGGATATGAACAAGTGAATTATGTTAGAAGTTACATTAAATGACTAGGTGCGGAGTTAACACCTCACCAAATATTTATATACGTAGATATTTATATTGTTAGTTTTATATTAATTTAGATTGGATTTAGTTACATTATTGATGTTTGGGTATAAGTATACTTATATACTTAAAAATACTCGTGTAGTTAATTTGTTTTTAAAGACTCTCAACTATTCATTTAGATAATGAAAGGATTTGAAATAAAAGAAATCCCAACTTTGGTCTCAGGTATACCTTTCACTCCCTCTAATGTTGAGAACGGTATCCCGAAATCACATGGTCTAGCCCGATATTTGCTGGCCCGTTTGTTATTGGCTGCCGCAAGCCCCATCTGTCTGTACTGGGTGTCTCCAGCGAAGTTATAAATATCCAAATAGCCCTTGGCAGAAAAATGGTTCCCCACCCCAGCAAGACGTTTTCAGCTCCGTTTTTTTGTTGTTGGAAAGCCTTTCCCTCTGTTCTCCCTGCTCCAACATGCACCACCACCAGTGCACTTTTGTTAGCTGGGGAAGGACAATGACCTTCTGGAAGGTCGGATACTTCGGCGTTTTCCTGTCATCCTCTTCCTCTGTGGTCCACTATGGGCCTCGAGTTTATTGGCAATAACTTTGTTTCTTGGTTCCGCCTGCCAAACTAAGCTCTTGAGCCCTGGAAATAAATGCTTTGCCTGTGCAACCCCAGTGCCTAGAAATCTCGATTTTTATGTGTATAAAATAATTATTTTTAAAATTAAGACAGGATTTAGTCTTTCAATAGCTTCAGAAGCAAAGCTTTTAAATATTTTAATTATTCTCAAATACATTTATCTACTTCTCTAAACTCCTAAAGTACATTTAAGACAGTATGGTTTTTTTTTTAAATATGGGTTAAGTATGGACCCCAGAGAGATAAGTGGGTAGGGCATTTGCTTTGCATGGCAGACCAGGATTCCATCTGAGAGACCTCAGAGAGCTAATCATGTGCATGGGGGGGGGGGGGTGGGGGGGCGGTGTTATCACACCTTCTGATACACAGGGATTACTCCTGGCTCTACACTCAGGAATTACTCCTGTGTGTGGTGGGGGGGGGGGGGGGCAATATGGGATACTGGAAATCAATCCAGGTTGGTCACGTGCAAGACAAACGCCCGACCTGCTGTGCTATTGCTCCAGTCCCTAATCATGTACAAGTTTTATAGGTACTAGTTACCCGTATTACTTAGCCTAGTTAAAGAACACGTATTAAAATTTTAATACATAGTTTTCAGTTGGTAATTATACATTGAAGTATATGCTTTCTCTGGAAAACTTTCCACAGAGGAGGGGGAAAAAAAAACAGGTTACTAAGATGAAAGCCCACAAAGTCCAGTGAGAGACATTTGCATTATGCTAACCATTTTGGCCCAGTTGCATATATTAGCTTACCTTAGTAAGCAGTAGCTAACAATTCCTTTTCCTTTGTAGTACAATTTGTTTCTGAACAATAGTTTGAGTAGCTTTGAAATATCAGGTGCTGTTAGAGCATTCTTTCAACTAAACTCAATGATTTCTCAAAATTTCTCAGAATCAGATTCAAAATTAATTTTGATCCCATTCATTGATATTATACTTTAATGATAGATCAGAAAAGCAATGGCATAGTTTTAAACAGTGACGCTTAATTTTTCAACAGGAAGGATGCATATGTATGCAATTTATGTCCTTTGCATGTTTACATTTGTAGTGAGTTAAATTTGTTCACACTGGCATCAATTATATCCCAGGAGGGGCATATAAAATGTCTCATTTGAATACTAATTCGGTTGCCGAAAATACGTAGATGATGTAGAAAGAGTGAATGGTTTGTTTGGGGGTAGTTGGTTTGTTTTTTGGGTTTTTTTTTTTTTGGTCTTTTTGGTTTGGGGACCTCACCAAATTGTGCTCAGGGCTCTATACTCTGGCTTTACACTCAGGGATCACTCACTTCTTGGGGGACATTAGGGGATCATATATGGGGCCAACAATCGAAATCTGGTCTGCTGTGTACAAGCAAATGCTATATCCGCTGCAATATCTCTCTGGCCCAGAAAGGGTGAATGTAACGGTAGCTCAAAAATTACATTCAAATTGTGTCTACATTCCTAGTATAGTGATAATTGAAATTTCCTCAGATGAGGAATGATTTTATAAAGGAGAAAAATTTTTTTCTCAGGCATTGCTATTACGGATCTCATGAATTTGATGAATTATATAATCACTTTAAAATTAACTAAAGAAATAGAAATAACAATGTCCAAAATCCCTATTTTAGAGTTTCCATAAACTTAATGTTTTTAAAGTTTAGAGAATTTGGGCACTATCTATAGGTCCCCTGAGCACCACCAGTATTGATCCTTGAGCACTTCTGGGTGTGCCTCCTATCCATCCTGGGCCCCTCAACCACCACCCCTCTCAAAAAAAAAAAAGTTCAAAGAACCTGCAAGGAAATCACTCTCTTAATCCCTACTTCCTTCCAGGAAGGAATACTTGGAGATCAAAGCTGAACTTCTAGAGCTTCAGTTAGCAACAGCATACTGGACTTCAAACCTTTATTTTTTCCTGACTAGAATCTGCTTGAGGTGATGCTGCAAACTTCACTTATGATTTTTTGCCTTTTTTTTCCCCCTTTTTTTGCGGGACTTGGGGGAGGGGGCGGAAGGTGGATTTTAGCTTATAAAATAATTATCAGGAATCAAAGACAGCTCAAGGAGCAGAATATCAGGTGTGGCCCAAAAACAAAACAAACAAACAAAAAAAGGAAAACAAAAGCAGTATGGGAAAAATATTTACAATTTAAAATCCCAAATAGTAATTCACCAAAGGTCTACATCATCACTTACAGGACTGCATAAATTCTTAGATAATAAGAACACCAACTAGAAAACTAGTTTTGATTCCAGAGCCACTATTCTATGCTGCTTCTTTATAAGTATACAATTTTGGGGCTGGAGCGATAGTACAAAGGGTAAAGGATTTGCCTTGCACAAAGCTGATCCAGGCTCAATCCCTGGCATTCCACGTGGTCCCCCAAGCACCACCAGGAATAATTTCTGTGTGCAGGGCCTGGAGTAATCCTGAGCATCACCGGATGTAACCCAAAATCAAAAACAAAAATTTTAAAAAATAAGTATACAATATCATTTTGTATTCTACTTAGTAACCTAAACATTTAAAGAATGATAAGGGCAAACATTTTTGGAACAATTTATCACCATCCTTCCCAAATGTTTTTAACCACTTAAAAACATCAAAGCGCATAGAAAGAATTTTTTTTCTGATTCCTTTTAAAGCACATTGACACAAAAATCACTGTTTAATTCATTACTTCAACATTTCCGGTCCTAAGCAGATCTTTTCAGAGATACTCATTGCTAAGCAACTTTTGGTGAATCTCTGGGTTTTTTTTTTCTTCTTCTTCTTTCTTTCTTCGTTTTGTTTTGTTCTGTTTGGGGATTACTCCCCATTTTCCCTCATCCTTGTAGTCCCCCCATCAGGCTCGCCCCCTACAAAATACACACCAACAGCCTCTTGATAGTGGTGCACAT